TTTCGGTCAGTTAGTATTATTATTATTATTATTATTATTATTATTACAATCATTATTATTATTACTATCATTATTATTATTACTTACCAAAATGCGCATCGCAACGCATACTCATTTGTTCATCCGCGAATAATCGAATCGGATCCACTCCGACAATTTGCACGTGCCTCATTATTGAGCAACATGGTGCACTGTGTCGGAGTTAGAATTGTGCATTTGTGGGTCACCCATCGAATCAGTTGATTTATTTCTTAATTGCTAATCGCGTTATCAGAAAGAGGCGACCACCTTCAATGAAGAAAACCATTCAGTGCAGCTGACGGACTGATCTGATCTGTTCAAATAGCCCGTGCAGTTTCTTGATTAACACTCATAACTTTAACGAATGTCATACTGGCAGTGATATGAACCGTGAGCGTACTATGGTGACGGAACGAAAGAATAATGCCTGCTGAAAACGACATGTCCATTTCTCAAAAAGATGCCCTTTTGGACTTGAGACAACGTGTGTGAAATTGCGATGCCAAAAATTGGATTGAAAGGCCACTGAGTTAATTTGTTCTCGCCTAAGGCGCCTTAATTCATGAACTGTGAAAATTGTTTGGATTCAAGTAGGTCCTCTGACCTACACTTGACGAAAAAATAACTTGATCCAATGACTATCGAAAATAATTTTTCACAGGAGTAGAACCTTCAGAACTACAAATTCTGAAAAAAATTACCACAAAGTGTGTAGAAGGATTTTTTTTTGCTCATTAAAAACATGGTTTTAGTTGCTGAAGTGCTAAATTTTTGTTAATAAGTACTCACATAAGTTCACCCAAAGTCAGCAGCAAATTACGTGACGTTCTGCTGAAAATTGAGCGTTAAATTATGTTTATATGGATATCACATTGATCGTTGCTTGAGTTAGTTACTAGAAATCAGTTTGAGTGTTCATTGAGCAGGCGCTCTGGAATGTCGCGGTCACGAACGAACCCAAATCTACTGGAATCATCACAACCACACCATACATCCAGCACACAATCAGCTGATAACTTACCATTTCTGCTCAGTGCCACTACAACCGGTGATGCTGCTGCAGTACAACCAAATGCTGCAGTACCAACAGCTGCAGACGGATCGTTTCATGGCTACGATCGAATTCAACGGTTCCTTCTCCATCAATCGTGCATTAACGCCAACTCTAATTTATTTATATGTTTCATTAAAAAAAGAATGTGATTTGGTTCAGTCATTCAAAGAATAATTTAGAATGCAATTCAAAGACTCAGAATTCAAAAAATGAGTGCAATCATTCAATCTGAGCTTTTGAATAAATTTTTGCATACATTCTACAGGTATTCAGTAAATGATTTTTGAAGATTAGAAAATGAAATCGATCGACTGAATCGAGAAATTGACGATTTGAAGCGTAAGAAGAAAGAGGACGAGGAAGATCTGATTGATGAATGGAAGCAGAAGCTAGTTAAGAAGCAACAAGAACATAATGAGGCTATCAGCGAATTAGAAGCGAACCATCGGTATTTACTATCATTCTTGCGACGCATTTCATTATTTCTGATTGCCTAGTTCAACTATTATTCGCTTTCAAATTTCTGCTTTTTTCCTTCATCAACCTAATTAAATTCATGTCCAAACTAAAATATTTTCATTCAAATCGGAATTGATAATACTCTCATGAAAACAGCAAAAATGTATCAAATTCAGCTATAAAATCGAATCACTCTCATTGTATGCATTTGAAAAATTATTTCTTATGTAATACAATAAGTACTTTACATCAACAAATGCTCCGAGTGAAATCATACGTAATCTTCCCATAGATGATTATTCACAAATTTTATTTCAGTAAGGTCGTAGATCGTCTAAACGACGAATACACAAGTACAAGCGAACGAGTAATGCAGAATCTACAACGACAACTTGAAGCGATGGGTGTGGTACAAAGTGAATCGAGGTCTGCCACTCAATTCGTTCTTTTGGTGAACTGAGCAAAGAAGAAATCTCATGTGTTGACTGAGCATTGTTCAATCTCCATCAAATATGAATTCTTCGTTACGTTCACAAAACGATTCGCTTTAAATGAATACAACCAACACCATTTTGTTTAGTTTGTTTGTTTTTCTGCAGAAAACAAGAGTTGGTCGTAACAGAAGTGGAGAATTTAACAGAGCAGATTAAGCAGATTGCAACGCAAGTGACAACGTTAAATGAGAAGAGCTTTACTGATCGACAAACAACCGTTCAAATCAAAGAAGAGCATGTCAAGCTCAGAGAAGAACGGTTATTTATGGCTTTTGGTTTGGCATGAACATTTTTATCTTTTCAATACGACAATTCATATCGATTTCATTCGGCCAAAATGCGACATCTAATGGTGACTATGAATAATTCTTTTGTATACTGGGTGATAACTATTGACAAGTTCACTTGAATGACCGAGTTGTTACATTCAGACTGGCAAAAGAACAAGAAAAACTGCAAGAAGAACGTAAAATGGTGGATGAACTTAACATCAAATTGCAGTCGACATTTCAGCGCAGTGAAGAAGAAATTTTAAAGGTTACATTCACAACGCAGCGATGAACTTCAGTGAACAAAATTTCCGCTGATCAGTGGCCATTTTTCAGCATTCACTTTTTGTTTATTTATCGAAATCAAAATTCTAAACAACCAACATGACCTTCTTTGCAACGAAGGTGAATCACCATTGTCCTCAAGAGGTACCGGAATCACTGACAGTATTTTTAATAAATGTTTCTCTATAGGAAAAGTGGCAGATTCGAGATGAGCGAAATCGTTTGAATGCAGAAAAGAATGCATTCAAAGAGGAACAAAAATTCATATTGAATGTTATCGAGAAACACAAAGCTGAAACAGAAGCAGCAAGGGTATGAGAACAGTATTTATTCATTTTATATTTGATGAACGCATCCCTTTTCTATGAGACGCATCTTGTTTTATAAGAAACTGGTATAACTGCTTTTGACAGGGAACACACCAACACAAATAATATTTATTCATAACTTTCCACATTTAGCCTTTACAGCATCATCATTATAAAGTTGTCGATTCGCGAGATCGACAACAACATAAATACGAATTGAAAACGAAATGAGAGATGTGGTTTACGTAATTATATAATGAATGACGGGAATAAGAAGTATTATATTAAGGTAGAAGACTGGGTTGAGAATAATTTTGAAGTTCGAAAACATAATCTTGTATGGGTCATTTAAATTGTTGATTTATGAAAATTAATTATATTGTTAATTTATGACTTTATCTATGTGTACAGTACTGGAGGTAATGTGTGCGATGAGTGAAGGTGTTAAGATGAAGTGCTATTAACTAGTGTTGTGCGTGGAGAGAAAAAAGTCAGGGATGGGGACAGTCCCCGAAAATGACCGCCGCTCGAAAATGGTCGAGGACGGGGATTCGGGAACTCCCCGCACAACACTACTATTAACGCCACATCTGTTACCAAGTTCCATACACTCTCTCAACTAACTTTCGGTACGCCGTGTGATCTTAAAAAAAAATCACTCAAAAATCGAATCGGAGCTGATCCGATTTTTGAGTGATCTAATGGCTCTTCTCCCTTCAGTGCATTGATTATCAGTACTAAACCTGCAATCTCCATACCAGATCCACATCTGGAGATTGTAGTCTTGGACATAAAGAGAGGTTGATTAGGACTGGCTTTATCTTAGGTGTAAGTGGTGGTACGGAGGCATCTCTCATTCTGTGTTAGGTGGGAGAGTATTTACATTTCTGTCGATCTCGCGAACCGATCAGTTTATTTTAGTGTGGTGCGGGGACGAGGAAAATCGTGGACGAAAGTTTGCAACCGGGGACCCCAAAAATCCGGTCGGCTCAAAAAAAAATCGGGGATGGGGTCTTCGAAATTACCCGATCTCCGCACTACACCAGTTTATCATGACGATGCCATAGAGCCGAATTATCGAAAGTTCCGAATAAATACTGACTTCAGTAATAACTTGCGTTGGTGTATTCGGTATTAGTGAAAAGTTGCATCAGTATCTTGTATTTGTTGATTACTGATCAGACTGAAACAGGTCAAATGGTCTCAGCAGTGGTGTTTGCAGATTATTTTTTCATGGGAGAGGGGCACAAGAGGTTTCATTGGAGTTGTCCAGTTTTTGTAGAAAGATTTATCGTTACTAATTTTCGGTATGTCGGGGATGGGGTCCTCGATTTTTTTTTTCATCTCCGCAGTCCTTCAACTGCATAACTGATTCTTATATTGCAAAAGTCTGAATATTTTATAACATTTATTACCGAATATTGAAATTATTTCTTATAGCAATTGCATATGTTGATGCTGTTTTATATGGATAAAGATTGCACTCTATCTGTCAAGCTTTGCTTGTTCTCGATAAATATTCAGCGATCACAAGTCAAACAATTTTTAGACGGCCTTCCTAAACGAACAGCACGACCTGTTAGTGAGAATGTTCTCTGAAAAAGCAGCCTTTGATGAGGAGAGAAACGCATTCATCACTCAACGAGACAACGATATTGCACGTCTCAAGGCGGAGGCACAACGCTTGCAAGAGAGAGTAAAACAGGTGATTAATTCAATTCTTTATGATTATTGATAATTTACCAATACTTACGAATTTCTCATCAGTGATATGTTCTCATCAATTGTAACTGCACACAATCCTTCTGAAACAACGTGCTCTTGATGAATAAGTCAAAAGAGTTTCTAATTGTAACATTCTTTTTATGATGTTAAAGCGTTACTTTAGAAGGCTTCCAACACTTTTATGATCTTGAAACGGCTATTTGAAACAAGTGCTCTATGTTATTAAGGAGCAAATGAGAAGTTGGAGCGGAGGGTGTGGCGGGGAGCCGAAAAAAAGGGGAATGTGGACAACCGAAGAGAGTGTTTATTGAGCAGGGGGAAGGGTCTAGCAATTAGACGTTCTTTTTCAGCAGCATGAACTCAACTTCATTATTTCTATGAGCAAGCAGCTCCGTTACAAACTTCTTGCAAGCGCGTATTATCAAAACGGTTCCCCGAAGAACGACTCATTTGATGTAGCAAAATCGTGTACCTCTCCGAGTCAATGTCTTTATACAGTTTATTACCCAGAGGGAGTGGGTGATCACCTTACAAAGAGGGTGGTGGTGTGGGAAAGTCTGAATAATATTTTATAATACGCATTGAAACAGAGAGATCATAAAAATTTTAGTTATAAAAGCAGGTGAGTTTTGCAAACGATGAACTGTTGTTGCAGGTTGAAGATGCCGAAAAATTAATGGTAGCTTCACGACAAACATATCAATCTAAGTATCGTGAAGTGAGCTTTATGAATTCATGCTTAAACTCATTTTGTATTATTCCAGTTATCGCTGCTGCCTAACTTGATACACTCATGGCTTATACAATCTCTTACAGTTCAAAACAAATAGTGTCTATAAATTATACATTTGGGAGATGTTTTCTTTTTTTTTGGGAGGGATAGGGGGAAGAGACCGCATACTGAGCTCTTAAAAATACAACATATTGCTGAAAAGTTTGTCGAAAAAGAATAGGCATATTTGCGTATAAAAAAGATTAAAATTTTTAGTTGATCGAACTGGAACAGACACTATTTGACGAATGTGTTGAACTGCAGCAATGTAGAGCCGAACTCGAAGCGTCCTTAACGAATAAATCTCTTGCTTATAACCAGTTAGCCATTAACGAGGTAATTATTCACAATTTGAATTAGTCTCTTGTGAAACTTTAACTATGAGTCTCAATTCAGATAAGTTTCTCCAACCTTTACCTTCTTATAAATGGTAGAGTGGATTATAATGCAATCAGTCCTTTCCGAATTGAATAACGCGTATCCCTTACAAAAGCTAACAAAACGGCCCGATATTTTGGGTCGTAAATCGAAGATACGAAAGAAACCATTCTTGGGTGTTCTCATTTAGAGAAGCTGTTTGGTATAGGAAGAAGTTTTAGGTACCATTCGAACGGAATCTGCCAGAAGTGGTCGCAGACCCTTTCACTGACGCCACATCCAATCAAAGGTTAGTTTATGAAATGGCTTCACGTCCCTAGTATACAATCATTGTAGTAAAAGGATGCCCTAAAAAGTACCGACTCAGTACGATCTGCAAATGACGTAAGTGCCGACAAAATCACTGAAAAGATTTCAACAATTTACGAACTGAGTTCGAGCCGAAGCGTCGACAGTCCAGAAGTGAGGTGAGTCAGGACTTGTCGGCAGCTTCATCCTGATCTCTCACGAAAGTGCTCTGGATAAATAACCCACAGTTTGCTCACTGTCAAGATAGGTGACACGCAGTGACAATTTTTCAATCCTCTAATTGAAAAAGTGTCAGCATGAGTTCTCCATTGCCAAACAGCGCAGATTATTCATCGAAAACACCTTCAGCGTGAAGCTACTGTCTGCACCCTCTTCCCTCTTCGGTCACTTCGAACACGTTCGCATGCCGATGTTTCAGGTCCAACCCACGTACAAACACAGTTCACAAGTTGTCAATACGCTACCCCACCAATAATTTTCCACTGAGGCTATTTTTTTGTTCGTCGACGTTTTGCACACATTCACTCGACAATCTTGATTTTTTACGCCATCACGTAATTTGCAGGAACGAAGATGTTCGAACTGTTTTAAAGATGCACGCCGATATGCTCGACCGCTATTTGCCAGACATTGAAATCGATAGAAACCAATCACAATAGCACTGAAATAAAACATGCATTCAACGCGATAAAACGCCAGCATATGTACGAAATCAATTAAATCAGTGACAGCTACTCCACAAAGCGTCCAACTGCATTAGCACTTGTATCACCGATGAAATTTTGCGAAACAACCGTCTGCTATGATCACGTTTCGACGAACAACGTGAAAAATTCGATGCTTTCAGCCTCGAAATAATACCTATTCTAAATGCTGAACATATGTTCTATGTGGGTGATAAAAGTTGTCATCATTTCAACGATGCCTTTTCTCACAATAGACTAGAATAATCACTTGCAGTATTCAACTTTCTCGTTCGATAGATTCGCGTTGTGATAGAACAACTGAATAATGATGCTTTATGAATGAATGATATTGTCGGATGGCTTTAACATACGACTGAAGCAATATCAATGTTAATTACACACTGGATAGAGGTAAGGTATGTAGGTGCGTGCACATCACATAATCATAGACAAAGATCAATGAGAAACTGACAGACGGAGATTGATCACCAGCATAAAGAACATAATCACATCATATTTTATTCTTATAACAACAGAAAAAATAATTATGATTAACTGAATACTGATTTCATATATTATATTTCAAAGTGACAATTATTTTGCAACAATTCTGTTACCAATACTGATATTAAATTAGAACCGTAATGTTTACATAAGTTAACAAATATATATATATGTAAACAACAATGATGAATAAATTTTTAAAAAAACGTATCAGGATTAATAAAACCGATTAAAAATATTCACAAGAAAGTACAAGAAATTATCTACACAAGGCTGCACAATCTTGAAGCGAGACGAGAAATGAAATGGTTATTTACTGAAACTGAAATATGAATAATTTATAAAAATGGAAGTGTTTTATGACACGACCGTATACCTTGCTTTGCCACGCACCCGAAAAAAAATATTAAGTTAACCAGAGCCATTTTCATTTTGAATATGGAATCAAAACGACTCTTTATTCGGTCATTCAGATTCGACCTGAATGTACAAAGTCTGAAAGAAGTCACACGCATTTTCAAATCTAATTCATATCTTATGATGGTAACTATAATTGTTTTCGTTGAATATTACAACACTAATGGATTCTAGATGTTTTTAGGTACTTTCAACTGTTCAAGCAGACTGATCTTAGCTAGTTTGTGAGCCTTTTGCTATTCGTCGCTGAGCTGGCTAATAAGTCTGAATTAATCCCATCCCAAAACAACAGAAAATAAAAACGTGTTGAATAAAACATGTTAATACAATACAAACTGAGAACAATTAAACAGACAGTAAACTTATGTATTACATACAAATACAATGCTGACAAGAATAAGCATTTACATGCATCAGAAAGTTATTAGCATAACTGATTATGCTGAACGTTCAAATCAAATGATAGAACATCTTCTGAGTTTCGTTCTATTCTACAAAATAAAGCAAACTAAGAGAATATCAAAGAATTCATTGGCCAACGGGATGCAGAATAACAGTAAAGATCAGTCAAACTGCACATTGTTCGGCCAATTCATAGAGTTTATTAGCGAGTTTCCCTCTCATTGATTCCATTGCTAATTCGGCTGCCTCTGTGAACAATTCATAGGCTTTTGTGAAATCCTGTTCAAGACCGTAACCTCCTACATTATTATTATTATTATTATTATTATTATTATTATTATTATTATCTATTAGCATCGATAGGGATGTGATACTATCACTCTAATTGATTTTATGAAAAACGTATTACGTATTGCTTACAACTGCAAGACTGTTAGGTGAACGTATGTAAACTTAAGTGGCAGAAATGCCGCAAAAAAAGAGGAGAAACGAACTAACCCTCTTTATACATTTCGGCTATCTTCTGAATAATTTCATATCTTGGCTTCACCATCGATCCTTCGTTCCCGTCATCAGAATCCTCCAAAAACGTCACCGCTCTACTGTACCATTCTACAGCCTTAGGCCAATAAGGTGATCTGTAGTGTACCAAGAGTAATTTCACAGAGTAAGAAGTGGACATCACACTCATGAATTTATAAGCTGAATAATTTCAGGTTCTATGTTTAAAAGATATAAGGGAATAACATAAACGTTACATTGACTTTCCAAGCCCTCGACCAGTCTCATAACTTTCAGCCACGAACAACATCGATGAACGATCACCCATTTCAGCAGCCGTTTCCATTAGTTCAATACCGAATCCTTCACAGTCGTCATCTCCCCAATAATCAGTGTTCGTGATATCCTTGAGAAGTTCATGAGGTAAACCTAAACACCTCATCTAATAACAATACACATATTCGCAAAACCAACGATTATAAAACTGTTGTATCGATGTGAATTGTTCCAAATGAACACATTTCCAATGGAAGTTCCTCACTGAATTGATGAAGCAGATGAAAATCGTCAGTTAATTGCTTCAAAATAATTATCTAATCCGATTAATTGGAACGTCTATATACCTATATGATCAACATCGAAAATAGAATTCCAATAGTGATGATCGCATGATGGAAAGATGAATCAGAAGAGGTTAGTTTTACTTTGAATAAACATCAGATCGTTACCATGGGCTATTTGAGCCGTGGTGATAATCGCTTCAAGAACGCCACAACGTCGAGCCATATCCAGATGATAAAGAGCTGCTTCTTTATCATATTCCAGTGATTCCTCTTCAATGAGGATTATCAGTTTCATCATCAAACAAATCGAAAATCTGAATCGCGTTCCAGCAATTGATGCAACAAGCAACGTATTTATGGGTTTTCTCTTAAGCCCAGATCATTAATGAATTGAATATTCACCTGCAGCTGAACCATCGCTTCCAGTTGTAACCTTTAAATTTTCATTTCTGGATGCACTCACGGATTTTGGAAGAAAACGCCCTACTTCGTGATAACGTGCTAGATCTAAGTGGACCTGAAAAAACGCACACTCATTTCGTTATACAACACTCTGGTTGATTCAGATATCATACTAAAGGATATTTGCATCAAAACAATAAAAAGAAAGCGCCACCAACCTGGCCAAGCACAGAAGTTGTATGAGTTTGTCTGGAAATGTCAGCAAGCTGCTGCATTTCGGTGGCCGATAGAAAGCCGGCTGGTCGGGAAAGTTTCCTCGCTTCCAGCCAGAATGCTTCTTTCTCAGACTCCTGAAAAGAACCATTATCGTATTCTTTGGAAACAGTTGAAAGCAAAGCACAAAATATGAGCACACATACATCTTAAAATAGTAGAACAAACAATGAGCACACGTGCTAATGTAGCTGTTATGGTTCAGCAGAGGTTCGACAACTTACACTATAGAAAAATGTTCCATGCAATTTTTAGACGTCTTGTGATCGCCGTTACTAAATAAACCGTCGATGGTATCGCTTTCATAAGTAATTTTTCCAGGGGTAATTTTTTCATTGAAAGAAAAGTTACAAAAACGTAAACGAAGATGATATTTGGCTTTGGTATAACTTAACAAACGCCTTTGATTTAGTAACTAATAAAAAATCTTTTGAGAATGTGAAAAACGACGGAATTTATAACAGAAACAAATATTCAAAACAATTCAATCACTGGTTAGCATACGTTGATCAGCCTGGTAGGAATAAAGTAGCGAAAAAAATAATGTAAGGAGCGAACAGGACAATACTGACTGTCGTTGGAAGCATAATGGTTAATGTTCGCTGACTGAGGAGCTTGAAGAATTATGGGTTAGAAGCAATTATTACATAATTGCAACGACAAAAAGAGCCGAGAAATAAAATCTGAAGGGTATAAGTGCAAAATTAATTCAGTTCTTTCGTGTTTTTAACTAACGATTCACATTCTGGCAAATCATCATTGTAAGTGCATAATCAGTTCACCGCCTCTGTGCTGCACAACGCTATCAAATCTGCATGGCAAAAATGTGACTTCATACAAAAGGTGACTAGTGTATATGTAGACCATAAGACCTGTAATGGAATAAAAAACATTACATTGACTGCAAAAGCACCGACCCGTGTCAGTCTTGAGCTACAGCAACTGCTTGTGCTGTCGACACTCAAACATCTTTCAAGAGGAGCAGTTCGCATCTGAAAATTACAGCCGCCTTTGCAACGGAGGAACAACTTAATCGTTGATTGATTAAAATACTTCTTAAAAGGCTGGAAGAATAACGAGCCGACTGCTTTATTGAATGCGAGCCATAGCAGCAGCAGCAGAAAAGAAATATGATCAAAACCGATAAAACCAAATGCGATAAAGAAACAAATATGTCAATTTGAAAGGAAAACAGACGATAGATGACCAGTTGATGATTAAAATTGGTGTGTGACAAGACAAGTACCTACTTCACGCCGAGTAAAACTAATTTCAAACACTAAATGGCGCCGCGTTCAATGAGAAGTAATCATGATAATAAGCTTCCACAATCTGGGTTCCCTGCCAAACGAGGTTGAGTGAAATTGAAGACTGCAAGCATAAATGCAATGAAATGACCTACCTCATCATCGTTTGCATCAGTGGTAGCTGACGCTGATTCAGTTTCACTTCTATAACGTGTCCTTCTTGCAACAACAACTTCAACACATCTTTCACAAACGCAGTCGTCATTGTGTGGTAACGGAGCATATTCGTCGACACATTCCGATGAACACATTGAAACTAAATACTTTCATTCTCATTCAGCAAACACCACGCTCTGCTGTTTGCAAATGAAACTGATAATTGCAACATAAGTCACTGGAACCCATGAAATATTCGGAAAACATTTTTTCAAATGAAATTACACTTGATTGCAATTTTAAGAGCTAGTTTAAAGTCATTCATAAGCCATCTTTCGACATATCCAGTCACATCAAATGATAATAATTCCTTACCGCTAGAACGAACGCCTCCATTGTTACTGAACGTTCGTGAACGTAATCGTTCCATTGCACTATCATCATCATCATCATTCGTTAACGGTTCACAAACATCCAGTGCATCATAATTCTCAAATTTTGTTGACCCATCCTAAAATAAGTACAGATTGCTACAATATTTCAGTAGTTACTTTATACATACACTCAGGTCATAATCATACCTTCGAACTAATCCCATTCCAATGAGAATCAAATCTGAGGTTGTTAAAAAAGCAAAATTGTGTCAGAATGAATTTCTAACAAAACTTGCGTAATATGCGTCAACACGTTTCTTTGTTCAGTCATTAATCACACATTCACAGTCGTGCTTCTTACAGTCCAGTTTTACCTAGCACAGCGAACAGTATAGTAATCAATGATTACGTATGTGTAAGCATTTTTTTGCAATATCAATTTGCATACGTCAGCCTAATAATCGATATAATACAGTTGTACACATGTGGAAGCTGCGTACAATCACAATATCCTTTCTTCAGCTGACTATCAATAATCATGCTAGATATTATACACAGTTGAACTACGATTACTGCAAGTGGTTGCTGGTGAAACAGAAGAGAAAACAGTAAGAAAGTGATACATAAAATTGATATGAATGAACAATGAAATGAACAATGAAAAAACCTCATTGGAAATGGAACGTTTACGAAGCGCATCGACTTCACTATACGAAAGATCGAATTCGGTCAGACACATTGAGAAGCATATCTCGTTACAAATATGCGAATGAAAGAATAGTGCCATGCCTTTTGTACCGAGATTTCCATCTCCGTAGCCATGACCAGAAGCCTTCAAACAACACTGTTACACGTACAAATCGTTCCTTACTTAATGGCACAAAAATAACTCACTGTATGAATTTGAGGATCTGTATACAAATCACCCACTCCTTGAATGTCAACAACAATAAGTTGATGACCACTGCGTTCGAACGTGAAATGACTAAATGCCTAAAATTACAATTACGGTCATTGCTTGGAAAACCTCGCTTTCAAATTCGGAATTTTTTATTCTGACCACATTAAACTGAAAATACATAAGGAATAATCAAACAGAACCTTTCGATCGAATGATATTCAAACTTTTGAGAAATTAAAATTCATTTACGACAAACAAAACAGGGATGCAAAGAAGATGATGATACCTGTGGTGTTTTACGTGCAATATCCGAGACAAAGCCCGAATTCGAATTGTATTTGATATAATCACCTTCAATGAAGTGCTCCAAGTGATAGAGTGGACGGTCTGGTTCATCAATCAATTCCAAAATACACACTTGCATTATATCGATCTAGGAAAAGCTCACACAGTATGCGAAAGTAGTTTGTAATTACAGTGGGTGAATATGAAAAATTCTCAAATATAAAAAAGCTGACTAAAATTGAAATGAAGAAGTGGACATTTCTTATTCTTCATCAGCAAGAACAAACTAGGCTCACTTTCTTCGGAGGATTGTGTCGATTGAATTCTTCCGCCCAAAGCTTACTATCCATTTGCAATCGAACATCTTCGAAAATCACCTGAAAACTGATCAAATTTCATATCAATCACACAATGCGATAACGACTGCTAATAATTGTGGATAAAATGATCCCAAGAACCTTCGTCAACAAAAACAAATATTAAAATACCGGGAAAAGAGCTCAGTATTTTCAATGAGAAAAGTTCGCGATGAATTATGAATCAATCCAAAAATGAAACCATCAACTCAAACAGAAACAAACACGAAAAAACTGTTGCAAAGCTGAGTTTGGTAACTGATCAACAGCGGTGTCCAAGTAAAGCGTACATATTCGCAATAAACCAACCTCTCTACCGATAGGACGGATATACTTTTTGGCCACATAATTGTGTGCGTGAGACCAATTGTCGTTCTTCTTGAACGACGACAATTTCTTCACTCGATAGCATTCGCGCATCGCTCCTCTTGCAAACGACTGAAATCGAGCAAAAGAATAGAACAAACAAAAATGTCAAAATAGAGAAAGCAGAAAACAATTCATTTATATCGCTACTGATATCATATCATTCATTTATGAATACATCAGTTATTCAACTGTGCTTTCATAGAATTGAAATGACTGTAAATCTAAGAGTTCAGATACCTCAGGATGCATCTTAATCTGAACACGATCTTCACTCCACACTTTACGCACTGGTGAGTAACGATGACGTATGCAATTGAGAGTAGCAAGTTCAGCGATATTGAATTTTTCCCATGGATCTGGCATAGATTCAGGTGTGCATCTGAAAGATTGCAAGACGATATGATCTCTGATTTATTATACTGCGTCAAAACATCGAAGCAATACGATAATTTGCGAATAAAGGTACAACAGAAATAACATCGATCAAGTACGACTGATTATTTTTGGCTTCCGAAGAACACCTTAGAGTCATATTGAAATGAAACGTTAGCTGAACATCGGGATTATAAGTTGATATTTTGCACGAAATACGTTAGAGAAAATAGACACGACTTTTTAGCTGCAAATTTCCATCTTTCGATAAGTTCTTTTGATCGTACACTTTCACTACTTGAACGAGCTTGACTGATCCTTGCTGATCCAAATTCATCACTTGCACTATCCGAGCCTGCTCCGTGCTTCCTATTTACTGGCAACTGTAATTAACTTATGATTGTTACGGCATACGTGATGATGCATAAAGATCTGAAGCTCAACATATTTTCAGTTGCCGCTCAGCTGAACTACAAAACTTACTGAATTGATTATCAACAGCTCTTACCGGTAAAAAGGACACTGAAGATGAAGTGCTGCTAACCGTCGAAAACGTTCGGTCGCGTTCCATTTCATAAATCAATGCGAGTTAGATAAACCATGCAAAAATGAATGATTGCTTTAGCCTGAGTCTGAAATAAATAAACTTAAAAGCAAAAAACATGTTTTGTAGATGATTTACATTAAACTCAACTATGATAACGAACACTACAAAAAGTTAGACATTCAATTACTGCGCGACTAGATAGATAGACAATAATTTTTTCGGGTTATCTGGTTAACGTTAATGAATGAACCCTAAACAAGAATCTTGGACTGTTTTAATAAGGAATTAAAATACTCGATCATAGCAGCGAGAAAATATGAACGTTATAGAGAATAT